GGGGGGGGGCAGGAGCCATGTCACCTCCCAAAGTCCCCCCCTGTGACTCCCCCACCTCTGCTGGGGTCCCGGGACAGAGCAGGGAGGGAGCAGAGTCTGACCCCGCCCCTCTCCTCCTAGCCCCGTCTCCGCCCTGCTGCTCCCACCTGCCGGTCCCTGCCTAGCTCCCTGCTCCACGCCTGGCCTTCCCCAGCTCGGAGCAGGGCCCGGCCAGCTGGCGTGGATGCCAGGCACTGGGATAAATGCTGGGAGTTGGAGGTGCCAGTTTATGGAAACTTCACCTGCAGAGATATGGGGGGGTAGGGATGGGAGAGGACCCAGCTGCCCCACAACCACAGACACGTCCCAGCCACACCCCATCGAGCTGAGGGGTTCCTGCGGAAAAGGGACCCTAAACAACCCCGAACATTTCTTAGCGCCCGTCCGCCCAGGACTCCCGCTCCGCAGTACAGGGCTGTAGGGTGACCTGGCCTCGGAGACCGGGCACCTGGGTTCTAGCCCCAGAACAGGGAGGGGAGTGGGGATCTAGTGGCTGCAGTAGGAGGGCGAGGTGCCTCGCTGAGTCCTCTCCTGCCTCTGGCTTCCCAGCTGTAAAATGGGGCTGAATCAGCTTATTCTTGTGCAGGGAAAGCTGGATGGGCAAGGTACACGCACTGACACCAGCCCACCCTGCGGTGACCCCCTGCTGCTGTCTCTCCCCTTTTAGCCACCCGCGTGCTGAGCAGCCGCTTCCCGAAGACACAGAGCCCTGCGCAACCCCAGCAACCCGATCCCCGTAACCTTTCCGCTAGGAGCCGTGATCTGCCGCGTCAGGAGAGCGGCACAGTCAGGGGATGGGAACTGTCCCAACGTTACATGGCAGCAGAAAATAGACCCCAACCTCCCCCCCCCCACACACACACACACCTGCTCTAACCACTGGACCCCACTCCTCTCCCAGAGCTGGGGTGCAACCTTTGGAGTCCTGGCCCCAGGCCCCCTGCTCTAACGACTCCCCTCTCATCCAAGGAGAGAATGCAGGAGTCCTGCTCCCCAGCGCTCTAACCACTAGACCCCACTCTCCCACCTACTCCGACAGCCAGGCTGTGTCTACACTTTTTCACGGAAAAACTCCACCGCGTCCAGGGAACGCATCCGCTCTTC